CCCCTCCCGACCCCCCCTCCTCCGGAACCTCCCGACCCCCCCTCCTTCGGCGGTGTCCGTTGCGGAAATCAGTTTAAAAGGTATGATTTTTCTACTGAGCTTTAGAAATTTTAATTTTATTATTAATTATTGTTGAATTTGGTTAAAAACCCTAATTATGTTGAAAAATAAACGAGTTCAATTCTGAAAATCCTAACTTAATTAAATACATGTTAATTCATTTGAACAACACTAGTTATCATTATTGAGTTTTAAACACTTATAAACCCTAACTCATTTAAGTTTCATTCGTGCTATAAGTATGTGTGATTATTTAAGTTTGTGATGTGAAAATATGTGAAATAAATATTTTTAAAAAATAGAGTGATATATAACACATTATAAATTTTTATAATGTGTTATAATCCAATTTAGGTGAATAAAAAAATAACGTTATCCCTAGACTTCCGTCCAATAATTACATCCAATTATTTGGGCTCACACTCCTACGCTAATCTGGGGGATGTTTATTGTCAAGATACGGTATATGTCATTTAAAGATTTAAAAGATCTTAATGTTTAGTATGATTATGAAATCTCATAATTTATAATATGACAGGGGAAATCATTAATGCCGATACACTTGAGGGCCAGAGCGGCATATGGTACTTTTCGTGAACAATATTGAGAGGAATCAGGATAAGATCACGGCAAATCTCGAGTTAGTGGTGAGACTTATACATATCTTTAGTAGTATTATTAATTCTATTTTGTTAACATTACGAGGAAACGAGAACACAAATAATATGGTCATTATCTTGAATTAACTATAAATATGTGATTTAGGAGGGATTTAAAACTGCATCCAAGGAGGCTGCATCTGTGTACATTTCGCAGGAGGAGGAACAAACCGAGCCGGACCCTCACATTCTTTCTGCAGAGGAGAACATCAATCTCACACAGAACTTGATGGGTCATAATAGGTAAGGATGGTGAAAAATCGAATCAATTTGAATACTACATACTATTTATATTTGTTTACCATTATTGAATTTGAGAGCAAAGTTTAATATTTATTTCTCCCTAATAATAGGAGAGGAAGATATCCTCTGCATGGTGTCGGAGCTTCACCCGGTATAAGCATTAGATCGTCCACAGCATCCTCCACACCATCTACATCGCATAGAGCAGCCACAAGCAGTTTTCAGTCTATGCCATTTGTCGCACATATCTCTGCCTTCTTGATTGACAAAATTGACCCGGAGCTGCATATTCAGGTGACTAATGAGATGACTAGAGTTGCGCTGACGGCGAACTCGATGGACGATCTCATGGGGTATGTTATACAATATTTAGGTGGTGCTATTCCTTATAGCGCGTATGGTGGTGTCATACGGATCATTAGCTCGATTGGCGATAATTCCGGCGCTAGACAGAGTAGTGCTCAGGTACCTTATTTTTTCATATATTTATAAATTCATTTTTATCTAATATGTTATCAAACACCACATAATGATTATTCAATTAAAAATTCAGAGTGGAGATATTGGAGGGAGCAGCACCCGTTCTCGTAATCGGGATAGAGATACCCCCCGCCGACGATGATGGATGAGGTTTTTTTATTTTTAATGCAATAAACAGTTTTATTTGTTATAACACTACATTTATTCATGTCGTGTATTATCTTAGTCATGTGCATTGTTAGTATATATGTTGTTGGATGTGTTTTAGACGGAACTGATTGATGTATATTTTGAAGTGGATGGTTGGATTTGTACAATGTGTTGGATTTGGTTATATAAATGTTTTTGAATGGAATTGTTATGAATTTTGATTATGATTGGATGGTTGAATGTGGTGTGTACAATATTTTCTGGATGTATTCAAATATTAATGTAATTGTACAGGGAAATACAAATTTTAATTAATTTTTTTTTCTCTGAAAAAAGGCAATCTAGACGGAATTCCGTCTAGATTGAGTCAACCTAGACGGAATTTCCGTCTAGGTAAGGCAATCTAGACGGAATTCCGTCTAGATTGAGTCAACCTAGACGGAATTTCCGTCTAGGTTGTAAAACACCAACCTAGACAGAAATTCCGTCTAGGTTGACATACCAGACGGAATTCCGTCTGGTCTGTCAACCTAGACGGAATTTTTATTCCGTCTAGGTTGACTTCCGTCTAGATTGATCAACCTAGACGGAATTCCGTCTAGTTTGATTCAATCTAGACGGAAGCAAAATAAACCACCTAAACTAGACGGAATTCCGTCTAGATGAACTAATCTAGACGGAATTTGAATCAACCTAGATGGAAATTTCCGTCTAGGTTGATCGTTTTTCTACTAGTATAAGTTGTGTTCTAAATAAGACACCCATTTTGAACAAATGTGAAAACTTAGGAGTATAATTATGAAGATTTAAGGGTGTAATTTAGAGATAACAAAGTTTTGGAGGTCTTATATGACAAAACCCAAAAATAATTTATAAGTAGGAAATAACTAAATTGTTTTTTATCTGAGAATTAGTCCATTTCATTTTATAACTTGACTAAGAATAATTCAAAATAGAATGAAATATCTAAATTGTTGCAAAATACGAAAATCAAAGAAATTACAAGTTTCAAGGTCTGACTTCCAACAATAAAAGATATTATTATAGGAATATGAAAGAGCAATAATAATAATAATAATAATAAGCTACCACATCATTCAATTTAAAAAAATTGAGAACATGAGGCAAAAGAAATAGGAAAACACTACAGGCACACCCCCAACCATACCTTGGGGCACACCCGCTCTCTCAGTTACAGTATACGGGGCCCACTTTAGATTTTAAAAAAAAATCTAAAGTGGGCCCCGTGCACTATAGCTGAGAGAGGGGATGTGCCTCAAGATGTGGTTGGGGGTGTGCCTATAGTACCACTCAAAGAAATAATATCAATCCAGGTCATAGAATATGCTTTTATGATAAACCATAATAAATCCTTCCAAATCTTCGACATTAATTCAATGGATCAACTTAAAGCATCAACCAAAAAGATTAGAATATGATCTGAGATTGACTAAATTTAAACAAACAAATTCCATCGTACAAGCTGACTTTGCTCTGCATTTCCTCAGCAAATTAGAAAAATTTCCAACCTATATTTTATTATAACATTCAAATTAAACTATACGACTGACTGTTAAATATTAAGAGTCAATTAAATAAAAGGCAACAGATCCGGCCAAGTCAGTGGCAGGACGTAGAACTGCACTTGATCTATCCCTGTACAAAAAGTATACAGTATCTTTGAAAATAAATAAATAAACCTATAACTCATCATGGATCCATATATACCGGATTATATTTTAATATAAATCAATATCATTTATATAGATAAAAAATAACAAATCTAACTTAACTATGGTTTACATTGTATCCTCATGTAGTTTTTTTTTATTAAAATAAATTATAATTATTTATTGCATAATAAATGATTTCGACTCAATAAACTGTATTATTTGTTGCTCATGTAAAGTGAAAAAAAGATCAAATATTGAAAAAATCACACAGAGAGTAAGAAGTAACTTACATGTGTTTCCACACTAATTTAAAATTTGCTTGTCGCACTAATTCCTGTATTAATTTTACTAATTTAATTATGTTTATACTAATATTTTAATTGTTCATATATTGTTTACACAATTCTCTTACTTTTGCCACAGATCTAAAATTGATGTTATGATAAATGTTCCCTTCTTGATTCTCCTTCTTCTCTATAATTTTCTATTTAGAATTTACTAAGGCTCTGTTTGGCAAAACTAGCTGAAAGCTACGAGATTATAGCTGAAAGCTGTAAAGCTAGCTGAAAGCTGTGAAATTGTAGCTGAAAGCTGTTAGCTGTGTAGCTAGCTGATTGACTAGAGCTGTTTGGCAAAAGTAGCTGTACAACTAGCTTAAATTTGTTAAATGACTAAAAAAACATGCAATATTATTGATATAAAATTAGAATTATTAGGGGCAAAAACGGAAGAAAAAAATTGGCAGTTCCTTCCCAAAGACAAACGCTACTTGAGATAGCTTTCCAAAAGCTACTTGCAAAAGACACAATCTCCAAAATAATCTCCTCCTATTTTTGGTCACCAAACAGCTCTACTAGCTTATTGACCAAGTCAATAAGACACAAGCTCTTAGATAAGACACTTTTTTTGGTTGCCAAACAGTGCCTAAATGATTTCTTTTCCAAAATAAAACAATGTATTAATAATTTTTTCTTCGAAGAAATTTTCTAAACAAACTCATTCATAATTTTTTTCTAAAAATAGACCCCTTGAGTTTTTTTTACAAAAATCGATCAATTTTGTCTTAATCCGGTTTCTAAATAGTCGGGGTTGCCAACCCCGACTATTTAGTGCATAGAATGTTAGGGTTTATAATTGGGGGTTTACAACCTCCTAAATAGTCGGTGTTGGCAACCCCGACTATTTAGGAACCAGATTAAGATAAAATTGATCTATTTTTGTAAATAAAAGTCAAAAAAACCTATTTTTAGAAAAAATATGAATAAGTTTATTTAGAAAATTTTCTTCTTTTTTCTTCATAAACATTACACCATCTCCTCTCAGTACCACAACACAAGAAATAAGAAATTAGAGTAGAAATCCTTCGTCTCTCTCAGACTCAGCTATCACCTGTCCCCCTTCTCTCTAAACGCCACAACCATCTAGAGGGACCACCAAAGAGTTAGGTAATACTACTTCTGAGCTCTCTACGCCCCCAGAAAATAAATTAAATTAAAACGAAAAAAAAAACCCATTTTCTAATGTACAATTGAGCTGAAATCAACTGACCCAGATGGCTTTTTTTCAGTTCTTAATCCTCTGAGTATTTATGATGTGATAGTTCGAGCTGAATATATAACAGCTGCGGCTTTCTTTTGATGTTTTTGGTTTGGTTTTAGCTTGATTTTGGAAAATTGGCACGTGGGTATGAAGTAAATTTGGGTTGAAGCCCCAAAAGTTTCCTCTTCTGGGTGTTGGCTTATTTTTTTGCAAGCAATAAATCGATTTTGTTGTTGCTTGAGATTTTTTTGTGATGCTCATCTCTTTTGGGTAATTAGCAGGTGAGGTTATTAAGTAGCTTCTGTTGGGAGTTTCTCCATATTTTGACAGTAGCTTGGAGTTTGAGCTGAGTTCAGAAGAATCCTCTCTCTATCTTGATGATAAGAGGTGGTTTTGATATTGTCTCCCTTTTCATTTTCTGTACTTGAAGTGGAATTGGAGAATGAGATCTTGGCTATTGGTTTTATATTGCAGATAAAAGTAGTGAGATATTGGTGGCTTGTGCTAAATCTTGTTGAATTAATGGCGAGGGAATCTGTAGATGAGGAGAGCTCCAAAGGAAATATGTGGGTATTGGATCAGAAGCTTGATCAGTCAATGGATGAAGAGGCTGGTAGGCTGAGGAATATGTATAGAGAAAAGGTATGCTTTGATTTATTAAGTTAATTTATTAAAATTACCAATATAGTTCGTTGAGATTCGATAAATTAGGGGAAGATAGAGATAGTTTCCTTTCTTTTGTTGTAGATTCATTGTCTTTAGCTAATTCATTATGTATGGAGTTACTTTACTTAGTATCTCAATCTTCAAGACATTATGATGTTGAATTAACTTTATGTTTCTCTCGATTCATATACACAAAAGGTTTTTTCCTCTTTTGTGCTTTTAGTCTAGGACACTTTCATTTCGAATTTTCAAACCTTTTTATACATCTTTAGTCAGCTCCTTGGCTGCACTCTAATTACCAGCTTTGTGGATTGAATTTTCCGTCACTTTACTGAATTCAGATAACATAATGATGAGTTGTTTATTTCATTCAGTTAATGTGAAAGTTGACAGAATCTCATCATTATTCCTCTGAAATTGAATTTTGATTGAGATAATTTATTCACGGATGCATACTTTGTGCTATAAATGTATATAATGTATACCATTTAAGTTATAGTAGTATTTAAAAGTTTAATGTTGAAGAGCTTCTTCTGGTTTGGCAGTTCGCATCGAGGCATAGAAGTTTGCATTTAGCTAATAAAAAGCATGGAATTTTGAGTATCCATGTTTACCTTTTTAATGGTTATACCGTTTGTCCGGAATATCATCTGCATAGAGAATGAGATTAATACATGCAGAAGACCAGAATGTCATACTCATGTCCTCCTTTTAGCAAGTTTCCAAATGAAATAGTAACAATAGGAGATTAAGTCTGACAATTGAAATACATCAATCCTTCAATATTCGACTGTATTTTTGACATGGCTCTGAGCTCACACATCACCAAATCCTTAACAATTCCTGCCCCTGAAAGTGCTTCCCTACTGAAGCTGGATATGCAAAATTATGCAAGGATAAACTAAAAGTTGACTTGAACTTTATGTATGTTAGAATATAAAATTATAGCCTCAACCTTCACTAAAAATTTGGTGTAGTGGCAGAGTCCTTTAAGATGATACAGATGGTATCAGAGCAACCCAAAATCTCTCTGGCCACGAATTTAAAGTAGATTTCGTAAAAATTGACACCGCCACCTGAGTGCAAGTAATTTCTTCCCATAAAAAAGGAGCTCAACCTGCGGGCTCATGTTAGAATATAAAATTATAACCCTCAACCCTCACAACAACTTTGGAGTTTTGGTGTAGTTGCAAGGTCCTTTAAGTATGTACACCCTACACCCTGTGTATGGTATTTAACAACAAATATTATTCTTAAGTTTTATATCCCGACATATCAATTTGTTTCCATATTTGATGTTTGTTTTGTGTTTAAAGGTGGCTGATTTGCTGACCGAAGCATTTTGACGTACTGAGCATATTCTAGCTTTTCCTTGCAGAAATTCTCTGTGCTGTTATTATTAAGGCTAGCTTTCCAGAGCCTAGGAGTGGTATTTGGAGACTTAGGTACATCGCCTTTATATGTTTTCTACAACACATTTCCTCATGGAATAAATGATCCAGAAGATGTCATGGGAGCTCTTTCTTTGATAATATACTCTCTTACCCTCATTCCACTCCTCAAATATGTATTTATAGTGCTGAGAGCAAATGATGCTGGCCAGGGTAAGTCACTCCACCCTTTTTCACAAAATTTTTACTCAGCGTAGAATAGTAAAAGGTGATTGTCCAAATAAAGTAATATTTTCTAATTAGTGCTAGTAAGTTAGAATTGAGCTTTCTGCGTTTTGACTTTCTCTAGAAAGTCTATTGAAAGAAAAAATATTCAATGTCACTAAAGGCATTTTTCTGAAAAGAGTTTATAAGATTATGAACTAGCTTTAGCTGATTCGGACTAAAGAATCCTGTTTTCTGTATTTATTATTTTTGACGTTGATAGATCTGTGTCCCTTTTTTGTTGCTTTGTAATGGAAATATTTGTTACTGTTTCCACCATTTGTTATAACATACTCCTTTTATTTACATAAACCAATTGAACTTTAAATTCATTTCATCTGTAGTATACCAAGCACCTTCCCAGTGCATGGCCAGTGGGGATTATTCAGATTCATTATGCACTTTTCTTTCCTTGTGGTCATGCTAATTAGTTGATGTTGATATGGTGGAGAATTTGATGTCTCTTCCTAGTATGTCTACACATTTAATAAAGCTAAAGTATTTGTACTATGCTTTATTACAGCAAATTGTTTATTTATTCATTACACTCTAAAAGTTATATCACCAATCGAATGTTTTCGGGCAGTATATGTTGACAGTTGAAATCGAACCAATATGTATGCCTAAAAATTCTAATTTCTAGACTTCTCGAAGGTAGTGTTTTTACCTTTTTGTAGATTCAAGTATGTGAAAGAATAAGGCAAAAAGTGATGTTGAATGATATCCTCTTTTATAACGAAAATTTTGTACTTTCTATTTTGCAGGTGGGACTTTTGCTCTCTATTCACTACTCTGCCGGCATGCAAAAGTGAACACTATTCCTAATCAACATCGAACAGATGAAGAATTAACAACATATAGTCGCCAGACATTTGATGAAAAGTCACTTGCAGCTAAAGTCAAGCAATGGCTGGAGACTCATGCATATAAAAAGAATGCTCTTCTCATTCTTGTTCTTGTTGGAACTTGCATGGTTATTGGAGATGGGATACTTACTCCTGCTATATCAGGTGTAAATACTTTGTGTAGATGCGCATTTCTTGTTATTCCTGCCATCATTGTTTTAGATTTCTAGTTAGTTTTAATTGGGTAGACACCCCCAGTATTAGGTGGTATACCCACTTATATCCCCTAAAGTTTTTAATTAACGCTTGCACCTTCTGAAACTCACATGTTGTAATTTATTCCCGCAATTTAGAAAGAAGGTAGTCCTTTTCCCCATTAAAGTGAGGGTAAGAGTTAATGTGCCATCATGTGGTTTCCACATGACATCTCAACTTAATAGTTAGGAGGTGTATGTGGCAACATCTTCATACTACAAGTGCTAATAGTTAGTGTATGTGTGGCTACATCTTCATAGTATGAGGAGTTTATCTACGATTAACCCTTTTAGTATTACATGTTAGAGCCTCGTTAAACCTTCCAGTTCTTTCCGTTTTGCCTTGTCAATATCCCATTTCAGTACTCTTTCATTAAATGTAAGATTTTATGTTGACAATGTTCGAGAAAAAGTTTAGCGATCAACTTCCTGTGGTTTTACTGAAAGTCGAAAAAAATGTAAGCAGAGAAATTTTTAAACCTGCAAATTAAAATTTACGAGTAGGCATTTCAGCATTTTAGAATCGCATATATATGCTATCGAATTGTCAGTGTACAAATTTTTGAAAGCTAATGATGTCAATGTTCTATTCTCACTTTAGCTTCTGAATTGCTCTATTGCAGTTCTGTCAGCAGCAGGTGGAATCAAGGTGGACCATCCCACTCTGAACAATGGTATTCTATTATCCATATGTACATCAGTTTTTGCAAGCTCTAAACTTCAAGTAGGAAGAAAAAAGATATTTGCCTTTGACCTCCAATAATTGTTTCTCATTTTCATAGTTTTGTTCTGTTTGGTACTGCCTCCGTAGAGATTACCTTTGCATGGTATTTAGAATTATTGGAGAACTTACAAATCGTACTTGCATGTACCCTGCTCAAATCTTCTTGGGATATTTGTAGAACTGAAAAAGGAATATCTTAACAAAACATCAGAGGTATTGATGAGTAGTGATTAATTACTAAGTAGTTTATGGCTACCAACCTTATAATTGTAATGCTTCTGCTGTTTGTGGAGCATGCTTTTCATGAAGAATACATAGCACCTGGGCCCAGAATTGAATCACTGCAAAATTGCACCCCCTACTGCTGAAAAGAGGGCAACCCTCCCGGTGATGGTCACGCTGGCGGGTCAGTGGGCGGTGCCCCCTTGGCGGGAGGTCTACAAGCGCATCATCTATGGAAGAAAATTGTAATTTACTGTTATGTTGGTATGGGTATTTTTATAATTTCGGTTGTGGAGACAGAAATATTATCATATAAATATAGTTTCTAAACCGTCTATTATATCTGTATGCGAAAGAGAAAAATAGAATGAGAGATGGAGGTGAGATTAGGGTTTAATAGATTGACTGTAATCCTGTTGATTTGGAATTGACCTTGTTATACTTCAAGGACTTAGGGACCCACATTGATTTTTGAATCGCTCTAAATCCATGTGTTGCTATTGTTGTCCGTTTTCTGTTGTTATTTCTTTCATCGATCTGGGTTATTGTTCCATTGTGTTGCTAAAAGCTTCGTATTATTGTTTCCTGCTCATGGCAAAAACATCTACATAGTTCATATACTTTTCCTGCACAAACTTTTCTATATGATTCTCAACCTTTTGGGAATTTTTTGAAAATTAGGATTTCACACTTTTGCTAGATGCATTTTGAAATAGCATCGGCCATGGCCATTTTAATATAATATTATTTATTGATTATAAAGGTAAGTGATATTGTCTTTGGATAAGCTTATAACTAACATCAGCCAAGCATTTATTGTCAAATTGGACATGATGCATTGGTGAGAATGCCCCAAAGTAATAACTTACCATTATTGGACTTTCACCTTCATTGTATCAATCATTAGTGAGGTTATGCTAAATATTTTCCATGAAAACATTGGGCAAAAGAAGGCCATGCTGTGATAGCTAGAGGCTAGTTTGTTGACATAGAGTTCCGCCTTATTGACCATCAAGTTTTAAGGTGCATTAAAGAAACATCCCTCAAATTCATTTCCTGTAGACAAGATATAGATGAAAATATTTCAATATTCCTTAGGATTTAGTGAGTAAGAAGATTAAAACATGTATATTGAAAACTGCAGTCGTCTTTAAGCACCGGAGTCATATTCTCGTTGTGAAAGAAATTCTGGTTGAAGTTAACTAGACATAAGTAAATGTCATTTGGTAAATTACATTAAAGATCAAACTTAACAAAATATTGGTTCTAGATAAAAAAAAATTATGTTGATTTCTGCAGGTCTAATTGCTTTATCCTTGTATCTTAATGTCGCAGATGTGGTTATACTTGTTGCTGTGGTCATATTGATTGCTTTTTTTAGTTTGCAACACTATGGCACAGACAAAGTCAGTTGGCTTTTTGCTCCCATTGTCCTTATTTGGTTTTTATTTATTGGATCTATTGGTGCTCTCAACATATGGAAGTATGATCATTCAGTTCTCAAAGCTTTCAACCCAGTTTATATTTATCGGTATTTCAAAGGAGGGAAGATTAATTGGACTTCCCTTGGAGGAATTATGCTCAGCATTACAGGTTAGTTCTCCTTAGACTCTATACACCTCTCTCTGATATATATGAGGTCATTTTTTTATCCATTTAGAGTTTTTATTTTCTCAGGAACTGAAGCATTATTTGCTGATTTGGGTCATTTTCCTGTCTTGGCTATCCAGGTTAGTGATGGTTTATTTAGTTTAGCAATTGCAATCAGCTACTTTAACTTGCCTGTTCCTTTATCATACATTTAGCTTGCTATCTTTTGTAGATTGCATTTACTTTTGTTGTGTTTCCTTGCCTTCTTTTGGCATACGCTGGGCAAGCAGCTTATATTATGAAGAATCAGGGACATGTTAGTGATGCTTTTTATCGATCTATTCCAGGTATCCTCCATTCCATTTAGAATAAATTTATACATACATACAAAGATGCGTTGCATTTAAATCTGAACCATAGCCAACTATTGTATACCTGTAATTTTGAAATTCAAGCACACATCATATTAAATATTGGAGCTTGTTTTTTGTTGGATCTTGAATTGTTCTCATCAGATGAAGTAGTATGTTTGATGCTTACTAGATATATGTATATTGATGATTGTTTCCTGTGTTGTAGATGGTATATATTGGCCAATGTTCATCATTGCAACAGCAGCGGCAATCGTTGCTAGCCAAGCCACCATTTCAGCAACATTTTCCATAATCAAACAGGCTCTTGCTCTTGGATGTTTCCCGAGGGTTAAAGTTGTCCATACATCCAAAAAGTTTCGTGGTCAGATATATATTCCGGATATCAATTGGATCCTTATGATTCTTTGTATAGCTGTTACTGCTGGATTCAAGAATCAAAGTCAGATTGGAAATGCATATGGTAAGCTTGCTAATTGCATATTTGCATTTATCCTTTGTAATTGGTTTGTGTTGATTTATATTGTTTTTGATTTAAATTAGTATTCATTTAGATTTATGTGTATTTAAGTAATTATAAATCGTGTTCTAAGTAGCATGTCACACTGACACAAGACACGGGTACGACACAAACAAAACAATTCTTCAAAATGTAGGACGCGATGACATAGCAACGCCAGATCATGATATTAAAATGAACAATGCGGGCGTGTGCCTGCAAGTGTGCATGTGCCCACAAGTGTACGTGTGCGTGTATATTTACATATAAATAAAGAGGGTTTTGAAGAAATGGCGAGAGAGTGCAGGAAAACAGCTGAAGAAACAGCTAGGCAGACTGGCGGTCGACTGCCGCGGTCGACCGCGAACGTGCACGAAAGCCAGTAGGATTTGGAGCTGAAGGCGGTCGACCGCGACGGTCGACCGCAATGACCCTGTAGCGATTTTACTCTCGGGAAATCAGTACGGTCGACCGCGTCATGACTGTAATCAATTTCACTCTCGGGTTTGTGGTTCGGTCGACCGCCCCGGTCGACCCCTGCCGCGGTCGACCGCGAACGTGCACGAAGGCCAGTAGGATTTGGAGCTGAAGGCGGTCGACCGCGACGGTCGACCGCAATGACCCTGTAGCGATTTTACTCTCGGGAAATCAGTACGGTCGACCGCGTCATGACTGTAATCAATTTCACTCTCGGGTTTGTGGTTCGGTCGACCGCCCCGGTCGACCGCGAAACCTGCGCGGTCGACCGCAGATGCAGTTTGGGCTGGGTTTTGGTTTTTAACCCGGTTCGTTTCTGAGTTGATATATAACCCTAAACCTGTTTAATTAGGGTTAAGCAAAGACGATTTTGAGCAGTCTTTGAGAGAGGATTGTTGCATCTAATTGTGGGAGATTTATGAGAGATCTAGAGCTTTGTTTTAGGGTTTAATCGGTGAGATTTGTAACTCTATTTGTATTCTCTTGATTTCTAATAGTAAGAACTCCCCCCTCCTTGCCCCGTGGACGTAGGCAACTTGTCGAACCACGTAAATCGTTTGTTCTTGCTGTGGTTATGATTTGCTTATTGGTTGTTTATCTCAAGTTATTGTTGTGTCACTCTGAGAAGCTTCTGCCGCGCACAACAGGTTTACATATACATGTTCATGCATCTAGAGTCTAAACAACTATTCTAATAATACAGAACATATATTGATTACAAATGTACTTTTTTTTATTGCCTAACTCGCATTTTTATGACTTTTCAAAAGGAATATGACTTAGCACTTCATAATAAATGTTTCAGGCATATCTAACTTTAGTCTTATTTCTACTATATAGTCTTTGGTATACAAAGGAAGATAGACATCTCAATCTTGTTGTAATTTGAATAAAGAAGTGTATGTAAAATGTGGGATATATATCCAAGAAGTGTATGATGTGTGTTTCAAACTGAAAGATATATCATATAATTGTAGATATGTTCGAACAAATGTATGTTCATATCCAAGGAGTGTCCAAGCAACTGTCATTGCGTCGGTGCTCCGTATGAGTATTAAAGTTTCAGACATGGGTATGGCTTCGTGATAAAAGTACCCATGATACTTAGTTTATGTTAAAAAGTTCGATTATTGAAGGTATATCAGTACTATTAGCATGTATATCAATTTATTTTCTAATGTATTTTTTATTTATCTTAATAATCAGGAACTGCGGTCGTGATCGTCATGCTGGTAACCACGTTCCTCATGATCCCTATCATGCTCTTGGTCTGGCGAAGCCATTGGATCCTCGTCATCATCTTCATTGGCCTCTCCCTCCTTGTCGAGCTCACCTACTTCTCCTCAGTCCTCCTGAAGGTTGACCAGGGTGGGTGGGTCCCTCTTGTCATTGCTGGCACCTTCCTTGTGATAATGTACATCTGGCACTATGGGACCGTCAAGCGCTATGAATTCGAGCTCCACGGCCGTGTCTCCATGGCGTGGATCCTCGGTCTGGGCCCCAGTCTCGGTCTCGTCCGTGTCCCCGGTATCGGTTTTGTCTACACCGAGCTCGCTAGCGGAGTCCCTCACATTTTCTCCCACTTCATCACAAATCTCCCTGCCATCCATTCTGTTGTTGCTTTTGTATGTGTGAAATACCTCCCAGTATACATAGTTCCTATGGAAGAGAGGTTCCTAGTCAAAAGAATCGGGCCCAAGAACTTCCATATGTTTCGTTGCGTTGCAAGATACGGGTACAAGGATGTCCACAAAAAAGATGATGATTTTGAGAAGATGTTGTTTGATTGTATTCTGGTGTTTGTTCGTCTTGAGAGTATGATGGAGGGTTATTCGGATTCTGAGGAATTTACATATAATGCCTCATCGTCACAGGATTCGATCGTGCCTGCAAGAACATGCAGTAACGGAGGGATGGAGGGCGAAGAGATCGAGTTTTTGAACAGGTGTAGAGATGCCGGAGTTGTGCATATTCTTGGTAATACTATTGTGAGGGCTAGGAGGGATTCTGGGCTTATTAAGAGGATTGCTATAGATTATGTATATGCTTTTCTTAGGAGGATATGCAGAGAGAACAGTGTGATATTTAATGTTCCTCATGAGAGCTTGTTGAATGTTGGGCAGGTGTTTTTTGTATAGAACAGTTGCATTGATTCAATTGAAAAAGTTTGCGTCTTGTGCCTTTTATCTATTCTTATTTTACCGGCTTCGGAAGTACTTTTGAGGGATTTGAAACCAAGCATTGATGGTGGAGTTGTTTCATTGTCTTATTGGGTCAATTCTTTTATAAATGTTTAAATTTTTAGGCCAATGTTTCATTATCGTCTATAATAAAAGTTCAAACCAGTTCGTGTACCTGAATTTTTTTTGTCAATCTCTTACTGTCCATCTAAAGAAAACAAAGAAGTAAAGTGAGAAAGTATTAAGGAGAAAGAGAGATAATCGGCTGAACAGGGTCAGCTTACCCTAGCACCGTAGCCAATATACGTATATATACGAAGATATTGTACAGTTTTACATATAGACCCTCTATGACAATTATACATTACAGTTGCACTATTACCCCTCCTCAATCTGGATGGGAGAAATACACACGGACAAATTGGTTTTTTCAAAAAGAAAGCATTGAGCAGATAATTCCTTAATAAAAAAATATCCACAAGCTAAAGTTGTGTGGGAACATATTGAACAATCAAATAACCACGAGCAACTCTCTTCCGAACAAAGTGATAGTCATCATTGATATGCTTGCGACGATCATGTAGAACAGGATTTGCCATGATGTAGGTGGCACTTATATTCTCACAAAAAAGAGTCACATGATGGCGAAGAACAATCCCAAGTTCAACTTAGATGTCCTGAATCCATAGTGTCTCAACCACTATGTATGCAAGGGCTCGATATTCAGCCTCCGTTGAGAATTTCGACACGGTAGATTGCTTCTTTGAACGCCAAGAAAGGAGATTAGGACCAAAAGATATCGCATAACCAAAGGTGGATCGTGAGCAGTCAGGACAACCCGCCCAATTAGAATAAGAATAGGCAACCATAAGGGTCAGTCCGATCACCTTGTGAAGTGAGAGACCATGATTTGTTGTGCCCTGCAAATACCTATAAATTCTTTTGACGGCTAGGAGATGAGTAGTATGAGCAGCATGCATAAACTGAGAAACAACATGAACAGCAAATGCAATATCAAGTCTTGCAATTGTAAGATATTGTATCGGCTTGCTGATGAAAACCTTGAGCAAACAAATTAGCTTTGTACTACTCAATAGAACCATTTGGATTATATTTAACCTTGGAAACCTACTTACAACCAACAATATTTTTTTCCGTTCATCAAATGGAACCAATTGCTACGTGTTATTATTAATGAATGCATTAAATTCTTCTGCCATTGCATGTTGTCAAGTTATGTCTTTTGAAGCTTGTGTGAAAGTTGTCGGTTCAGAGACAATAAGGGTTGTATGTAGGGACAATAGGTGACATGGTTTCACAATCCCCGACTTAGATGTAATGATCGTGAATTTTGATACTAATTAAAATAATTTTCTGATATTTTAAAATATTTAATAATTTTTTTAAAATATTATTTGTATTTTCTCTATCTTCTAGAATTTTCTATGATTTAAAATTCCAAATTTTATATTTATTTAAATAATTTTAATATTTATGAATTAACTTAGTACAGTAAAAAAATTTGGAATTAATCCGTTGTGTTATCGACACTATTACTTATCATTTTGAATAATACGATGTATTATTATTACTATTACGTATTATTTCGTATAATACGTTATATTATTATTATTATTATTATTATTATTACATATTATTTTGTATAATCTATTGTATTAGTATAATTAGTACATTTTATTTTGTAGATAATTTTTCCATAATTATTTAATTTAAAATGTAATTAATTATGTTTTTATTAATTAATTTCGTTAAATACCTAAACCCTAACCCTATATATATATATATATATATATATATATATATATATATATATATATATAGTATATATATATATATATATATATCTTTTCATTCATCAAACGCCGCCCCCTTCTTCTTTCTCTCCTTCTCTCTCCTCCTCTCTCTCCACCCGTCCACCCGCAGCGCCACACTTCTCCTCCATCACCACCCTGCTCCTCAGGCCCGACCACTGAGCCACCGCCTCTCCCTGTCCTCGCGCTCATCGTCCCCTCATTCGACAAGGCGTTTTCAATCTAACTAAAACGCCGCCCCCTTCTCTTTCTCTCTTTCTCATCTCCTCTCTCTCTCCCGTCATCCCGCAGCTCCCTTCCTCATCACCACCTTTCCCTCAGCCCACCAACAGGACCGACCCCCTCCTCTGTCTCCGCTCCCTCCCTCTTGGACAGACGCACCATCGCCCCACCACTACTGCCTCCCCTCTCCTTCCGCCACTTGCCACACCCCGAGCCTTCACAGCACCCTCCTCCTACACCACCCACCCTCTCTCCCTCTTAGCCGCTCAGACGCTGACCTCACCAAGCAGCCTCCTCAGTCCCGACAGCCTCCTCTCTCTCACTGCCGCCTTTCCCCGCTCCTCCGTATCCCGCCCTCCTTCCCCGTATCCCCCATCACCGCTGCACTCTCCATGCCCCTAAGCATCCTCGCGCCGCCCACTGACAGCAGTCGCAACCCCTCAACCCGCCTAAATCTTGCAGCCCAACCTCACCCCATCCCCTCTTTGCTGCCTCCCCCTTCAACCCGTAGTCCTCCACTTACCTCTCCTCCTCTTTCAACCTGCAACCCAGATCTGGCTGATCGTATCGCAACTCATGCACCTCTCCCATACCCTTACAGGCTCTTACTACAACAGCGCATGAGCTCTGCCCTCGGATTAAGTAGCGCCGACTCCCCTCAGCCCGACGAGCTCTACACCGCCTGGCACAATCACAGCCCAACCGGCCTACCCTCACGTCGCCTGGCCGTCACCGCCATCTCCCGTCACCACCTCACGAGTTCGATAGCCCCCTCTGCCTCAGCCCAGATCCAACCCCGATGACAGCCATCGTATCCCCCTTCTTCATGTTCAGATCCACCGTCAACTGCTCTACCCGCTTCAGACTCGTCATGCCATATCCACAGCAGCATTGTCGCTCGTCCGCAGGCCCTTGGCCTCATAGGTAAGATCCCACTTGCTTAGATCTGAATTTTTATATTTATTATGAATTATCTATAATTTTAGATCTGTTAATAATTATCTGCGTGGGCTTGTTGATGGAATTATGAATTATCTGCTTATATTAATTTGTGATTAAATAAATCGTAATTATGTGATAAATAGTATTTTAGAATAATTATAATAGATTAAAGAATTTATTTTAACAACGGGGCTATTTTAGAATAATTATAATTTTTTGAATTTATTTTGTGGAAGGAAATCATTTTAGAATGATAAATATTTTTAAAAGAAATTATTTTGGGAAAATAGACTATTTTGAATCAATTAGAATTTATCTTGTAAAAAGATTATTTTGAATTTATGAATTTATTATTTTAAGAGATTATTTTTAGAATAATTATGGTGAGAGATAATTTTAAAGGAATTTATTTTGCAAAAGAATTATTTATTTTGAATTAATTTAGTTTATGAACGTGTGATGGATGGTTGTTGACCGCGACATTTTATGTGCAAAACAAGCGTCGATTCCATGATTCTTATTTTAATTACGTGGTATGATATGACACTGTTGTACATGATTGGTTGTTTCATTTATTATTTCTTATTATGTTTGAGAACCCTTAGTAGTTTATGACTTAGTGGCTTTGTGTCATGAACAAGACTTAGTAATATGTGTGTGTGCGTTGATTGAATTTAGGAGATGGTCTAGAGATCTAGTTCAGGTTATGATTGTTATAACTTAGAAAAGCGAGAAGAGTTAGGATGGGGAAGTCTTGATTCATGTGATCGGATGTGGCTGTTGATGTATCTTCCAAGCTCGCACCAGTGAGTTTGTGTAGCACTGGGGTTGGTTTGTTGGGTCAAAGTGAAGTTTGTGTAGTCACTTTGGTCCGTGAGTTTGATATTCATCTGAGTTTAGCTTGAGTCCGGACCAGGCTGAAAACAGATTGCATGTAGTCCTCTGACCAAGTTTGTGTAGCGGTATTGGATGCACGTAGGGGATATACGAACAGTCATTTATCCGAGAATATGAACGTCGACTCTGTGTGAGATGTGGACCTGTGACCTGTTATACATGGCTAATTACATGACCTTGTTTCTTGGATAAATATGAATTCTTGTGAGATGTAGGCCAGTTGTATTTCTTTTCATACATAGATCGGGACTAATATTTAATTATTTACAATTAGACATATGGTATATACATGAGGGTTTCCTTATTTGGATTATTTCGTTCGATGTACTACGTCTCTTGTTGTAGATTTTTAAGTATTAATTCCATCTAATTGTATGACCTTGTTACTAGGATGATTATTCTGATCGCTAGCTGCATGATTAACTTGTTACTTGCTTGATTTTCTTGGATTCTTCTGATTATTATATTCTAATGATAGATTATATTTAGATTATTAGTATTCCAGTAGCATGCTTCTATTCTTATTATTACTGTTTTTGCCTTAGTCATTCTACAATTTCTATTTCTCTCTGTGGGATCTTACCATGTGCCATGCATGTTGACGTACACCTATTTTCTCTGGTGTACGTCAGATTTAGGAGACGGACAGTCTCAGTTCGGAATCGTACAGGAGCTAGAGGATTCTCAGCAGGAGTGTCTTGCAGACGGAGCAAAAGAACATGTTGAAGCTTAGCTATTTCCTTAGTCTTTTGATGGTCCTTAGTTTATTTTTTTGCAGTACTTCCTTATTATTCCTGTTGAACGATGTATTTTATATTTCTTCAATATTCAGTTGTTTAGTTTTGTATAAGGACATGTTGACCCGAATATTATGCCTTTGATGATATTCATTTGTGATATGTATTATTTTATTCTGTGTTGTTCATTATATTCTCGCTACTGTGATCGGGGATCTATGACTTCGCTTTATATTGCTTGACGCTTAGCTTATTAGATTGAGTAGAAGGTCTAGTACATTTCTCCTCAGTCTAATACATCGCGGGCTTGTTCACATTCTGATTTCCCGGTATTTTAGGAAGTGGGCCGTGATATTAGATGTAATCTGCATAGAATGTGG